ATGTTAACGGGCGAATCCAGAGCCAAACATCAGGATTCAGTGTGAGAGCAAAGCCAAGGAGGGATATGAAGGAAAGTCTGAGCGATAGAGGAGCTTTGCAGAACAACCATCCATTTTCTGTTCCACATCTTATTTCTCTATTCTTTGGACCAACCAATGAAACCAGAGGCCCCTGGATCCCCACATGCCAGCTGCAGGGGGAGGGACCCAGAGTTGTGGCATCTAGAATTGTAGAGCTGCAGAATATAGAATGATGCAGCCTGATAAAATGGATGATTGCTTCTAAGGAACAGATGAGGTCATTTAGGGGGACACTACCAGCTGACTGATGGATCTAAACTCCTACATCAGTCTGGAGGAGAACGAGTTCCTACCTGAGAGACGATTAGAGATAGGAGGAAGATGGAGGATGAGGAGTTTGACCCTGAATCGATCAATGAATCATTTGTCTCCCAGTGGAACCAGTGAAGTGTTTTGGATGGTTTTGTGGGCAGCTCTACCTTCACAGACTGCTGATCATCATCATCCTCATAGAAATATTTTCCTTTATTCTTAATCATGGATCTAAAATCAGATCAAGGATGAATATTCTGAACCAGGCGGTTCGGCTTCCTAATGGGTCCCAGTTTGATGCAGCAGCTGATGCTGGCTTCCCTCCAGAGTCTCTGCTGGGGTGGAAGCTGCATCCCTGACAGCCAATCAGAGTGAGCCGCTCCTCCCAGCAGCTTCTGCCTGACCTGACATCAGCAGAAGCACCATCAGGTCAGATCCAGGCTGTCCTGAAGCTCTACAGACTGAGAAGGAGCCCAGAGGTGTGATCTAGAACATCTATCCTACCTTCTCTCTGCTCCAGGCAGAACCCACAGCTCCCAGCTGCTGCTGGTCCGTAGTGGAGCTGGACAACTGGAGGCTGGTTTCTGCTGGAGGCTCCTGAGGGCTCCACAGCCTGCTGATGTTTTTCTGTCTAGAATAGAATAGAATTCAACCTTATTGTCATTCCACTGTCACAAAGCAACGACATCCACTCTGCATTTAACCCTTCTCCTTAGGGAGCAGTGGACTGCCATTGTGTAGCTCCTGGGGAGCAGTGCTGGGGTGAGGGTCTTGCTCAGGGACCCAGAGTGGCAGTCTGTGGGGATCGAACCGGGAATTAGCAACCTTCTCAGAGCACAAGTGTACTGCTCTAACCACTAGGCTCTAACCACTAGGCTCTAACTTCTAGGCTCTAACCACTAGGCTCTAACCACTAGGCTCTAACT